AGCATGCGGGGGAGGGGTAGTCCTCCTTACTACCGAGGGCTTCAGAGCCTACTATGCAATCCGCTTCTCCTTCAAAGTCTCCAACAACGAGGCCGAATATGAGGCCCTCCTATGTGGCCTTCGGCTGGCTGCCAACATGAGGGCTCGGCAGATCCACATCAAATGCGACTCCAAGTTGGTCGTTGGCCAAATCTCCGAGGAATATGAGGCCAAGGAGGGAAGAATGAAACAATACAAGGAAGCGGCCAAGGAGTTGCTTAAGGTATTTGAGGCACACTCTCTCACTCAAATACCGAGGGCTCAGAACTCCGAGGCCGACATATTATCTAAGCTCTCGGCCGACTCCCCCGAGCACATCTCCAAAATTGCCAAAATTGAGGAACTCAGCCTCTCAAGTATCCATGCAAGCCCCGTTATGAACATACAACAACGCCAAGAGGATTGGATCTCAGATATCACCGCCTTCATCTCCACAGGGCAGCTACCCGAGAATGAGACCCGCGCTAAACTGGCAAAGCTGAGGGCCCCTAGCTACACCATCGAAGATGGAAGGCTCTACAAACGATCTTACAATGGCACGCTACTTCGGTGCCTTCATCAAGATGAAGCCGAGGTCGCAATGGAGGAAGTGCACAGTGGCACTTGCTCAGCTCACCAGGGACCCTTCTCCATGTCCCGAAGGCTCATTCTCCAGGGCTACTTCTGGCCAACCATGGCCAGAGATTGTGCTGACCTTGCCCGGAGGTGCACCGCATGTCAACATTTCCAGAAAGCCCCCGGCAGGCCAGCGGTCAACTATGCCCCCATCAGCACATCTGTCCCCTTTTCTCGATGGGGGATAGACCTTGTGGGCCCTCTGCCGAGGGGTACCTCCAAAAACAGATACATCATTGTGGCCATCGACTACTTTACCAAGTGGGTGGAGGCTGAACCCCTCGCCAGCATCACAGAGGCAAAGTGCCGTCACTTCGTCCTCAAGAACATCCTCACAAGGTTTGGCGTCCCCCAGCAGATCATCTCCGACAACGGAACACAATTTGAGGCAGCCCCCTTCTGTGCCCTTCTGGAGGCATGGGGCATCAAACACACCTTCTCCTCCGTTGCCTACCCTCAAGGCAACGGGCAAGTAGAGAATGCCAACCGGACCTTGCTCGAGGGCCTAAAAAAGAAGCTGGAGGCAGAGGGCGGTGGCTGGGTGGAAGAACTCCACAACATCCTTTGGGCCTACCGCACCACCCCTCGGCGAGCAACAGGTGAAACACCCTTCTCCCTCTGCTACGGTTTTGAAGCCAAAGCTCCTACGGAAGTCACCCTTCCCACCCGGAGGGTGATCCAATATGACCCCGAGGTCAACGACAACAACATGGCCCTCGATCTCCATCTCATTTCAGAACGCCGAGAGCAGGCCTTCATCCGGGCATAAAATTACCGAAAGCAAGTCAAAAGCTACATCGACGCTAAAGTTCGCACCAGGGAATTCCAAGTGGGGGACTAAGTCCTCCGGAGGAGGGAAGCCAGTCAACCGACCGAGGGAGGCAAAATGGCACCAAAATTCGAAGGCCCCTACATCATAGCAGCCATCATCAAACCTGGGACTTACAAGCTCAAACGCCCCAACGGGAAATAAGTCCCTAGGCACTGGAATGTACACCACTTAGTTAAATTTTATCAATAATGTAAGAGCGGCCAAGCCCTCATAACTAGTGAATGTACTATCCTATGGCCCACGGCCTCCAATTTCGAAGAATGAAGATACATTCAAGACACCAAGAACAAAACACTTATGAGCGGCCAAGCCCTCATACCAACTACAGACCCCAGGCCTCACCTCGAGAAGAACCCCCTCCGGCGTCAAGTGCCGAGGGCGGACACCATCAACACCTACGACAACAGTGAAAACACCATGTGTTTTCAGTCAAGACCCCTCGGTACCAAGTACCGAGGGAGGGAGCTCCTATCACCAACGACAAGGAACGCCATGTGTTTCATTTCCTTTCGGCACCCAGAGCCGAGGGTACATCCCCACCTTCAACGTCAAAAAAGAAAAGATAAGAACACCAAGTGTTCCGACAGAAGACCCTTCGGCACCCAGTGCCGAGGGTACACCACCATCATCAACATCAAAACGAAGAAAAAAACACCAAATGTTTCAAAGAAGACCCCTCGGCACCCAGTGCCAGGGATATGCTCTCCTATCAACTTCCATACTTCTGTTGGGAAACACCAAGTGTTTCCTCCCAGGGCACTCCGGCACCAAACGCCGAGGGCGAACACTCCAATCAAAACACCAAGTGTTTCATTTGAAGACCCTTCGGTACCAAGTACCGAGGGTAGGCACCTCCATCAACTACAACAAAAGAGAACACCAAGTGTTTCTACAGAAGACCCCTCGGTACCAAGTACCGGGGGCTACACATCGAAACTAACACCAAGTGTTGTTTCTAAAAGTCGTACCCCACGAGGACGCATATACCGAAGGCGCCACCATCGGTGCCGGCGGCACGTAGTGCCCCTGGCCATTTGCAACTAATGTGCAAATGAAAACCCTTCCTTGAAACGCTTTCCGCGTCACTACCCCCAGGGTATGACAGGCATGAGAAATGCCCAGGATTCGACTTTCAAAAACGGAACGCTATCCGCGTCATCACCCCAAGGGTATGACAGGCACGAGAAATGTCCATGATTCGACTTCCAAACCGAAACGCTCCCCGCGCCACCACCCCAAAGGTGTGGCAGGCCACGGACTATGTCTAGCGCCGAGGGGACGACTTTCAAAAATGAGGCGCTTTCCGCGCCATCCCCCAAGGGGAGGCAGGTTACAGACCACCATATCTTGTGCCTAGGAAACGACCCTCGATCCCCTCGGAACTCGGAAGGTTAACCCGAGGGATGAGATCCATTGGTGTATTCTGATGGTCTCCTGATAGGCCCAGCCTTACCAAGAAACCAAGTTTCTTGATGCCTTCCCTTCACCACCAACCAAAAAAAAAGAGGGGGTGAAGGGGAGTAGACTCAGCGAGAAATCAAAGAGTACACTCCAACAGATCACAACATGTTGAGGGCTCCCCACGGGAACACCTCCGGTAATTGAAGGCTCCTATTTCCCGAAGGATACTACTCAAACGAATATCGTCAAGGAATGACTAAGTCCGCTGCTCGGTCACCTCCGGTCACACAAACACCGAAGGCTTCAACAATACGAAGGGACTGGACTATCCAAAGTCCACTAAACGGTACCTCCAACAAAACACCGAGGGCATCTGTTATGCACTAGTACCGAGGGCCCTTACCCCACAACAAGGGACACAACTGGCTAAGTCAGACTCTACAACTTTCCAAGTAATTGCCGAGGGCACATACTCCTCATCGGCTTTCTTTACAACAACAGGAGTCCACACTTTTCCTAAGTCCACACTTTTGGAAAACGAAAACAACCGAAGGCATCCATTACAAATCATCAAAGCAAGACCGAGGGGGCTTATTCCAAAACAGTTGCCCCTCGGACAGACTCCTCACTTGCCGGAGGTTCAGCATCCACGGCACACGTTGAGATTTTTCTAAGTCCCACATATTTGGCTCTCGGCCAAAAACTCATACAACACAAGGGCCTCACGATCACCCGAAGGGTCCTATTCATGTACCCGGAGGGATCTACATCCGGAAGCTCAAACATCAATCTACGCTTGGAAAATATTCTAAGTCCTAAATGAGTAGCCCCCGGGCATCTCGCAAAAAGGACGCAGAGTCAGAGGGCACCCATCACCCGAAGGCGACACAAGGAAGCGGCACTTAGAAAAAATTCTAAGTCCTAAAGATTGGGCCCCCATCAATATTACAGCTAAGGGAATATGATAGCCGAAGGCTATGCGATACAACAGCACTTGGAAAATTTTCTAAGTCCAACATATTTTTCCCCCGGTCAACTACTCCAACATCAAGAAGAGATGCCATCTCCCGAAGGCTCCCAAGAGAAAATCTACACTTAGAAATCTTTCTAAGTCCTACATATTTCACCCTCAACTTACAAAGGGACCCAATAGCCGAAGGCTACCTGTCAATCAAAGGTTACAGTACACAAGGAGTCAACACTCACAAAAATTTTCTAAGTCCTGTATATTGGGCCCTCGGTCCAATATTCACACTTCAGGAAGGAGGCTACCAGCCGAGAGCTTCCAATGGCAAACTACACTTGGAAATTTTTCTAAGTCCTAAGAATTGGGTTCTCAACCTAATCACCACACAACAATTGAACTACGGACATCCGAAGGCCCTATGGTGTGCTACACTTAGAAAAAGTTTCTAAGTCCTAACTATTGCTGAGCCCTCGGTTGTATATCCGGCAAAGGGTGCCCAACTGCCGAAGGCTACAACGGTATTCAAACACTTATGATATATCCTAAGTCCTGAACATACATTCAAAAAGCCGAAGGCATACATTCAAGGAGAAATGAATTAGAGAAAACAAACCATATATACAAAGCCCGAAGGCAATCATTCATCCATCAAAAAAGAAGGGATTCAAATGTATTTGTTACAGAGCATGGCCAAAGGCCGAGGGCATTCAAACATTCATTACAGAGGGATTGTTCAAAACATGTTAAAATAAGAAATTACAGATCAACATTCCCGGGGGCCGTCCCCTCCGCAGGCTTCGAAGTGACCTCTGGGCCGTCCTCAGGATCGTCACCTTCGGCTTCCTTCATGAGCTTTGTATCCTCTAGGTCTGGCCTCTCGACATCGGAGGGGAGAGGAACGCGGACGTCTGGCTGCAGGGGGGAAGCCCATATGCCGCCGGGTCGAAGTCCTTCGGCTCAATCTTCAAGTGGCGAGCCATCCTCCGGTAGATGAGGGCTTGGGTGAAAAACTCGCCCCCATCATAATACTTTTTACCCTTTCGGGAAACCCACTCCACTCCAGGCCCGTCGCACCACTCGTCAACCGAGGACTCAACGACCGAGGACAACCATTGCTTGTGCTCCTCAGCTCGCCACCCCCTGCCAAGAACCCCGAGATGGCGTCCCCTCGGGCTCTCTCGACGGCTTCCACCTTCGCGGCCTCGGCCTCCCTGGCAGCTCTCTCCAAAGCCTCAGCTGCGGACCTCTCAGCCTCCGCTCTGCCCCGATCTGCGGCCTCCGCCCGCAGGGTCATCTGCCGAAGGCTCTCCTCCAGCATAGCCATCTGCCGGACGGCATCGGAATTCTGGTGGACGAGCTCCCGCATCTTGGCATCCTGCTCGGCCTGGCGAAGGCGCCACTCTTCTAGACGCCGGGCTTGCTCCCCGAGGGCAATGCAAGTCTACAAAAACAAAGGAGTTAGCAGGGCCGAACATGGTTGCCTAGCTCAAAGTAAAGAAGGAAAATATAAATATCGAAGACATACCGTGAGGGAAGACCGAAGGATCCTGTCCTCGAGGGCTTGATCTTCATCAGCCCCGAGGGCTACTCTGTCAATCTCGAGGGTTATGCCTCTCAGAAGCGCCCTCGGGTCAGCCGTGCCGTTCATTACGGCCGTACCAGCCGGGAGGGAAACCATAAGGACCTCGGAGGATGGCCCCTGAACACCCGACGACACTTTCGCCACCGGCATTTGCTCGTGCGCCCCGGAGGCGGGGCAATCATCAACAATGACCACCGGGGGGACTTTCTTCCCGGCATCCCCGGTCTTGGGCTTCTTGCCCTCGGGATCTCTGCCCGTGCCCTTCCTCTTGGCGGCGACAGTCGTGTCAGCACTTGGGCCCGTCGATGGCCCCTCCAGCTTCTTGAAAAAATCACCGGTGGGTTTCGGGACACCAGCGTCCGTCCCCCTCGGGCCCTTGGAAGGTTTTTTCTTCTTCAGATCCGCAAGGCCTTTGACGTTCATCATTTTCACTGGGATACCTGCAAAAATAGTACGAGGTTAAAATCGAGGGGTTACTAACCGAAGGCACAAGGAATAAAAAAAAACGAACAGATAAACTATGTGCTAAGATATGAAAACCAAGGGCCCTCGTAGACTACCTCCTGCTCCCCCGAAGGCCTCAGCAAAAACGGGATACTTCTCGTCCGCTTCCCCGATGAAGCGGTATCTCCGAAAGCCGAGGGCGTAGAGTTCCTTATCGGCAGTGTAGTCTTTGATAGAAACCTGCTTCGTGCGACCCTCCGGGATTTTGGCTATCACCAGGCCATCATTCTCGAGAGCGGCGCTTCCAACCTTCGGATGCTGACGGAAGCGATCCCGGAGTTCCATCGGGAATGGGCTCTCGGCAATTCTGACATAGCACCACCGCTCCTTCCAGCCTTTATTGGATGAGGGCACTTCCGTGAATAGCTTCCACCGGGCTATCTGCTGCAAATTGGCGAAGCCCTCGGCATTCGCGTGACCCCCTCGGCAGAGGTTGAAGCTCTGGAAGAACAGGTCCAAGCTGGGGGTCACCCCTCGGTCCCTGCAGAGGTTCAAAAACCCCGCCACGTAGGAGTGGCTATTAGGTGTCAGCTGGCAGGGGACCAAGCCAACAAACCTCAGGTACTCCCGGAGGAAGGGGTGCAGAGGGAACCGAAGGCCCATGGAGACCGACAGTACGTGTACTGCAATACACCCCTCGGGCGCCCGAGACAGCACATCGTCAACTCCCGGCTCGACCACCACGGCCGAGGGCCCTACGTGTAGCTGCGTGACGTAGAGATCCGCCCTGTCCGCCTTCGACTTTATCTCCAAGGCAGCATTATTGAGCCAGGAATACCCCTCCGACATATCTACGGGTTTCCCCTGATCAGCAGCAACAATCTTCTTCTTGGGGGCAGCTGCCTTGGCCTTCTTCTTCCCGGGGGCCACCCAGAGGGGAACAACGTTCAGCAGCTGAGAGGTACTGGCCTCACCAGCACCCCGAGGGGGAAGGACGGCCACAGTGACCTTCGCCCTCTCCTTTTCCTCTTCCTCCTCAGCAACTTGGACGGTGAGGGCCAACTCCTCATCTTCGGCGGTTCGCTCGAACTCCTTCGCCTCGGCCTCGGCCACCAGATCCTTCTGCACCTCGGTGGCGAGAGCTGCATCACCACCATCCGAGGGCTGACTGCTACTGGACTCCACGTCGGAGATGCTTTCATCCTCCATCGAGGGCGCCCCCGAGATGTCTTGAGAATCACTCTGGGACGACATTCTAACTCTAGCTCGAGGGTTCGGGGGAACTAAGGTTTTCTAGAGAATTCTATCTCCTAACCTAAGGGCACAAGGCACACCTAAACTAGAAGGAGAAAGGCAGGGGGGAACTGACCTTGAGAACAGAGGATTCAACCGAGGGCAAGTTTCTCTCTCTAGAAATTTTTTGCGAGTGCTTCGCTACACTGAGTTCGCACAGCGGGGAATGGCTCTGGCCTTGGGGTATTTATAGGCGCTGGAATCCGGGCTTGGGCCTGGATTCCGGGCCTCCGGATGGACCGCCATCATTACACACCGTCGTTTCATCCAACCAGTGACGCCCGCCCACGAGCAGCCAACGACTACACTCCACGTGTACCCCCCCCCCCCCCCAACGGCTATAAACCTGACGTTACATATTCCAACGGCTATATTTCCAACGGCTATATTCTGGAAGCCCTCGGGTTTTCTACTTCACTCCACTTCATCAAGGAAAGCCTCCAGGTACACTTACCCAAAGACACCCCCGGGCTGTGCCCCACGTAGTACATAACAGACGCCTTCGGCATCACTCCTTCAGGAACCCAAGGCTTCATATCAGGCACCCCTCGGGGATTCCCCTCAGCACTGTAAGGACCGGGTAGCCCCCGGGGAGCTGCCTCAATAACGGATAGCCTACGACACACAGGGAATGGGAGCCCCCGGATATCCCCATCACCAACTAATCAACAAGCAGGGGACCCCCCGGTGACAATCAACAGATTGAGGGGCTCCCCTTCGGCATCCCCCAGGACATCAACAGCAAGCCTTCGGATAATCAAAAGAGAGCCTTCGGCATTACCGTTATTCTCCATTAAGGACCAAGGTTTCACATTTTCGATTCATCATTGGGGGAATCCGGTGCACTCTTTTTCCCTCATTAGGATTTTTTCCCACATGGTTTTTCCTAATGAGGTTTTTAACGAGGCATCCCCCCAAAATGAAACGAAAAGCGTCAGCCTTCGGCCCACAACAGCAACGCAACTACTCTACTCCTTTTCACCACTTTACAAGTGCCTCAAGGAGTGGGGGACTGGAGGACCCCCTCGGGAAAATCACTAAAAATACAAAATGGTGAAAATTTCCAACAAACGGCAAAGCAAGCCCTCAAGTCCCGACATGTGGGTAACTGAGGGACTGCCTTCGGCAGGGACATGCAAGCAACAAACCAACCTCAGAAATTACAACGGAACAACGGCAGGGGACAAACACAAATTACTCCTTTTCCCTCAAGTACCTTTCGGCAAAAGGAGTGAGGGACTCCTGATGGAGTATATGGCCCGGGAACACCCGGCCCACAGACTCCCACTACTCCAGTAAAGGCCCAACAGGCCCAGAAGGCCCAACAGGCCCGAATCATGGCGCCCGGAGTACCAAGCAGCCCACAGCGCATCAGGGGTGCCTTCGACCCCCTGGCCGAAGGCTCTAAACTCTCACAGAACGGGTTTCTCAAGCAAACTAAGAAACTGGGAGAAAACGGCGAAAACAGTAGCCCTCGGCACCTGGAGCCCTCGGCACTCAGGGGTCCTAGGCACTCAGAGCCCTCGGCCAGTCCTCTGCAGCCGAGGGCACCTCTCCCGACATGATATCCGCCTCACAGGCGTACAGATCAACGTACCCTGTACAGATGTCCCATCCAACAGCCGCATTAAATGCGGCCACATGCGGCTGCCAAGGCCAACCAGTTGAGGTGACCTCTCGGCCAATGGGCGCTTGACACGTGTCCCTGTCCGGCATTTATTGCTACTATAAATAGCACCCCATTTCCCCATTTGTAACCACGGCATTCATACTGAATACACTCTCTCTCTTACTTACTTGTGCTCTGACTTCTCTCTAAGTTATTCTCAGCAATAACCCCTCGGATATATACCCCCGGGTAGACTATCCATCACAAACCCTTAAAAAACTACCCATAATCATGAGTGCTAAACAGGAAGTCAAACTACAACCAAAATTGGCTTTGATACCATGTTAAGAACTAGAGTTCCATCCTGAAATGTCAACGTGAGATGAGAAGTAGCACAAAGTCTTATATAGTGTTTTCTTGTTTTATTGTTTTATGGTATGGTACAAATACTTTAACAAATGTGATTTAACTTTTTTTGCTGGGAAAAAATGGTTGTTGGTGTTCTAAATTACAAAAGCCTTGCTTCATCTTTTCTAGCATTGCATGGTCTTACGTTGAAATATTATAATGCAACTGCACGGTTGATAAATGATACTACCTCCATCCGAAATTGTTTTGCAAAAGTCGACATTTTTTGGTTAAACAGTTTTCAAGTTAATTCCTCCATATTGATAATTAATTTAATTTTAATGATTAAAATTTACATATTTAGAAACTACATTAAAATCTCTTTGAGATTGCAAAATCCAAATTAAGATTTTATTAAGAGTTGATATCCTAATTAAGTGATTAAAATGAATTAGTTTGACTCAAAAAAGTGAAATTTCCAATTCAATCTGGGGCGGAGGGAGTACTATTTTTTAGCACTTTTTTGTAATACCTCCAAATTAAATAGGTCTTAGTCGTAATCAGTTGGGTTTGAAAAACTTTTTATCAATCCTTCTTGATCAACTTATTAAATTAACACTATTTAAGAATAAATTGTCTTACACTCAAGAGAGACAATTACTACACAATCTTCTCCTCAATTATTTGAGTAGTATGAGCCATAATGAGAAAAGTATAACTCCACCTCAGCCAAATCTGTTTTGCTAGGTGCACATGTACACCTTTTTGTACACATTTTGTGTACACCACACATTTTTCCAACCAAATTACCAAAATGGTAAAAAAACCGAGTACAATTTTAGAAATTGATAAAAAAATGTCGGGTAACATATTGTTAAATTGAAAATGCTGCGACGTCAAATGGGTCTATATATTGTGTCCAAGTCATTCATATATGAGCTGACAACGTAACTTAATGAAGTAATTGAAACATTATAGTGAATTATACATTATTATAGTTTAAAAAATGTTTGGGAAGAAATGGTAACGAGCAATATGGAAATGAAGTAGAAAAAGTGTGACATAACATATGAAACTCATAAATTTAATGATCACACCAAACAAATTAAATTACTACACCACCGTGTTTAGCATGCAATATATATATAGAGAGAGAGATTGATCGAAAATAAGTAGCAGTAACTGATTAATAGCATACATTGATACATACACACTCTGATGTTGAGACTTCATTCATTTCCAATAATTAACATCATCTGCTTGTTTCAGTTAGAAGATCGACTTAGACATGGATTTTTCTGGATTGGTTTGCGGAGAGGATAGTTAGGCACAGGTAGAAGACGACTGCAACGTAAGAAAGTGCCAAACTAAGTGTCATTTTGTGGCAGAAATGGGTAACGTTGTCACATATGGCCATCCAACCAGAGTGTGATTCCCCATATTTCCCAATGTATCCTATGCCTGTTGCTGATGCACATCCGGATAGAAGCAATGCCATCACAATCTGTTTGGAGATCATGCATATTAATTAGTTTCCACATATATATATATATATCAACGTCACATGCCAAACTAGACCTATATACCATTTCATTTCAAATGTGTCTTTTTGGCAACCCACTTTTCAAAATCAATTCCTTACGTTAAAAAAATGTAACAAAAATAACAATTTCTCACACAACAGGGCTTCCATCTTTCTTGTCTATCTAAGACATGGTAGTCCTGTATACATGTGATCTCATATTCATGGAATCTCACATTATAGCCAACTAAGGAGATTATCTTATAACTGTGATAGATCTAGTGCAAGGCTGGCCCTAAGCCGGATTATGTTCTAGGCAGCCATATATCTGATCTTTGGCAGGAAGGCACCTAGAATGATCAGAGCGTAGGAGCAATCTGTGCCTTGTCCTACCCCAATTTTGATTAAAAAAAACCTTTATTTTTACATGTCAAAAAAGGTGTGGGAATTTATAAAAAAGGGAAAACTGTCAAATAGGTCCTCGAACTTTCATAAAAAAGTCAATTAAGTCCTTCTATAGTAAACTCTGTCCGGTCGTCGCAATTTGGGGAGGTTCTCGACGGAGTTTTGTGATGAAATTTTTTGAGCATCTTATTCATCAAGTCTAGTTTACTCATACCGAATTTCATCTAAAAATTTAATCGGGAGCGTATTCAAATTAATTCGAGAACGCAAAAATGCGCAGTGATCTTCAAGAATTAATTTGAATATGTTCGCGATTGAATTTTTAGCTGAAATTTGGTATGAGTAAACTAGATTTGGTGAATAAGATGTTCAAAAAAATTCATCAAAAAATTCAACCGGAAACTACCCCAAATCGCGATGGCCGGATGGAACCTCCTTTAGAAGGACTTAATTGACCTTTTTATGAAAGTTCGGGGATCTATTTGACAGATTTCCCTATAAGAAATTGTATATATGGATAAATTGTTGATCCAGCCTATTCCAATTTCCTCTAGCTACTAGTGCGGCAAAGAGAACGGTGACCGGTGTTTAGGCTAGCTGCGTGGGCAGAGATGTTGTGATCTAGGCGGCACCTAAGCTACTGGTTTTTAAAATATATGTATTGTGTACATATGAAACTAGTTGTTGAGTGTTATACTCCGTAGTTGTGATTATGTAAGCTCTATATTTCAGGTTTCCTCTTCTATGTTATCCAGTTTTCTAAGATAGGCATATAGTAGGTTTCTTTTCTGGTGTATTATTGTGTTACTTGTGTATAAATAAATTATAAATACCTGGCCCAATCTGTCACAAAATAATGTCCAGTTTTTAAGTTAGACTATCATAATTATTTTACTTTTTAATTCAATCATTGTCATTATTGTTTTTAATTAATAATGATTTAAACCATCAGCGGCACTGAAGATACAATTTTGGAAATTAATTTATTTCCTACTAGCTTGTTTTCATAAACCCACTGTAACATAAAGATGCCTTCTCAATGAGAAAACAAGACGTAATACATGCAGACAAACTAAACTTGACGTCTCAGATCTTTTTGGATGTAAAACATGTACGAGTATAGGTTACATTGATGTATTATACTTCGTATTTGACTTCGAGTTCTTTTCCTTAATTGTTGTGGTAATGATTAAATACATCGAACCTTACAAAAAAATTATGTTAGCACCATGAAAATACAATCTTCGTTCCATTTTAGTTAGTCATCTTTGACTTTTCCAATCAAATATAGTAAATTTTGACCAATTATTTTAACTAATATATTTATGCACAATTTAATAATTTTAAAGTAATTGACCCAAATATGACTAAAAGAGGAAAGAAATTCTAAAATAGGACCATACATGATGTTTTCCCTAAATAGGACTATTTTACTCCTACTTGAAAACATCCGTATTTTTTATTCCATTATTACCCTCTTATCCCTTTTACGTTCATCTCTCCTCTCCCCTACGCACAACCGCTTCCTCATTCTCTCTCTTTTTTTACTACAGGGGCGTCTGGGGGAGAGGGGCTGGGGGGGCCTGGAGTAATCAAGGCTGAAACTCACTCCATTGAGTTTCAAACCTTTATGTGCCTAGCAGGTTTCGAACTCGAGACCTCTCACTATGGCACGGTAACCTCACAACCAGATGGGCTGGAATGCTTATTACCGCTTCCCCATTCTCTCTTGCGCACACATATGTATCTCTTCCTTTACTGTGCATCATCGACCGACTTCACCGTAGCCATTGCCGTCGCCGCCGATTTCGCCCCGCAGAGAAGATCGATAAATTTCTCTCTCACGCCACCGATGCAGCCAATTTCTCCGTACGCCGCTGCCACTAAGGTTCTCCTCCATTCTTCTTCTTCTTCTTCTTCTTCTTCTTCTTCTTCTTCTTCTTCTTCTTCTTCTTCTTCTTCTTCTTCTTCTTCTTCTTCTTCTTCTTCTTCTTCTTCTTCTTCTTCTTCCTCCTCCTCTTTCTCTTCTTCTTCTTCATCTTTTTTATTTTCCTCCATTTTTCTGAATTTTGAATTGATTTTTCCAGTTTTTCAAACTTCTATTTCGATTTTCTGGTTTTTAATTCCAGAGTTTTAAAAAAATTCGATTTTCATAAATGTTTGGTTGATTGCTTCAGATTTGACCATGTTTATGACAGAAATGTGTGCATTTACAATCATATTATGGAAGAAATGTTTTTGTATAAATTGTTTTTTCTATTTTTTTTGTCAATAGCTTCATTTTTCTAATTTGTGGTGTTATAATGCTTGTTCCATTAAAATTTTTAGTTGTTTGAATATTTGGTTATTTACTTCATGTTTTTTCATTTTTGCCAAATTTATGACAGTTTTGTGTTACTATGCCAAGTTGAATCTGCCAACTTTTTTGGCAGATATGAAACACTTGTTCATGACAGAAGTGAATCTAATCCCCAATGCTAAATCTGCCAAGTTAATGGTAAATTATTCCGCCTGAATTGTCATTGTTGTGGCGGTTCTCAGAGGATGGTGGCTTGGGTGGATGGTGACGTCGGTCAGATAATGATGGCATATCTAGATGGCGACGATGGCAGATGGTAGACGGTGAGGGCGGCGACAAGGGGCGCCGTCGCCGGAGAGGGCGCCAGCGAGGGGTGGCGGCAGGTTGCGTCGGCGAGGGGTGGCGGCAGGCGGTTTGGCTCTGGTGGCGGCATTGCTACTGCTAAGGTTTCAATAATTTTTTATTTTACAGTTTTAAAATTTAAAAATATAAAAGAGAGGTATTTTTGTCTAACTGTACTGAAATTGGTCCTATGAACGTTGTGTTTCGTTTGTAGTCCTAAATGTGCAATTAACTTTGGTATTAGTCCTATTTGAGTCATTAACTCATAATTTTATACTTTTATGATAATATTTTTAACAAAGAACATTTTTATATTGCTTTCATATTATCAATACTTCTGTGTATAGATATATAATCGCTCAAAGTTAAATATCATTGACAATATTTTTAAAATTTTAGCCCGAGACAACGTTTACAATATTTTATATATGGAATTGTTCAATACATATGTCGTACAATAGTGAATAAAATAAAGTCAAAGTAGAGTGTGAATAATATAAAAATCAAGTAAATATGTTAATGATGATACATGTGTGATGGTGAATACGCGTAATATCAAATTAAAAGTGTTGCAACTAAATAGATCAACAATAATATTATTTATTACACAAAAAAAGTTTAGAATGTTAATTGTATCATCACATACGTTTAGAATATTTTAAATTATGTACTTAACATCATTAATTTATATTTATGAAAGAAAAAATAGATAGTCATAGTGCTAAAATTTATTTAAAGTCCGGGCTATATGCATTACACATACAAGTTTGGGATACTTACCTTAACCCGAATGGGTAGCTAAGTTGGTCGAGTGGTGGGAGATTTGGATCAATGGACCAAGGTTCGAATCCCCGCAGCGACCGGGTGGAGGTCACAGAACCTGAAATAAGGCTGAGCCTCTGGTGCGCACGAGTGTATGGGCCTACTACCATTCTATTGACTGAGTCACCGTGACTAACCTCCCCACCATCCTGTCGGGTCGGAGTGGGGGCTTCTGGGGTGGGAGATTCCACCTTTTGGATCAATGGGATACTTACCTTACACTCGTTGAAATTTGGATTTTTTGAATTATGTTTTTCTTTTTTTAAGGATATTATTATTTTATGAAGCATTTTTTAGTAGAGCTTTTTTGAAAAATATTATTGAAATAAAACTTACTTACAAAAATATGATTAATAGTTACTACAATATAATATCATGATCACTCACTAGAACAAAACACGGGATTGATAGAGATTTTGACATAGACATGCCAAATCCGTGCCAATTACAGTTTGGTACAAGCTATTTGACACAAAATCATCGATAAACCCCGTGCCAAATTTGTGTCAATTTCATAATTTTTTTGTGGTGACTTATGTCTACAAATTAAATACTAAAAGTATAAGTTACTACTATAGTGAGAGCACTGAGAGGTCACATTTTTACACGGAGTAGAAAACTTTTATTTTATACTCCCTCCGTTCTTTATTAACTGTCTCGCATTCCTTTTCGGGACGTTTTTTATTATTTGTCTCTCTTTCTATTTTAGGAAAGTTTTTTATAAAATACCCCCACTTTTATTACTTTTACCCCTCTTAATTTTTACAAACTACTTTGTCTTTCCTACTTTATCATAACTTTACTCTACTTAATATACTCTTTTTTCTACTTTATCATCACTTTATAACCACTTTAATTACTCTTTTTAATATACTCTCTTTCATACTTTATCATTTACCCTACACACTATACATTTACCCTACTATTTTTCTATTAAAACCCGTATCCAAGGCTAGCGGGACAGAGAATAAAAAATGTTTTTAGTAATCACCTTTGAAGTACTAAAAAGCGGTCAGGGCAGGGGCGGACCTAAGGGGGCTAACGGCTAATCTAAGCTCTGATCCACTTCAAATGAAAAAAGGCTGTAATTTTTTAAATATTTTTTTTTTGTGAAAAAATTCAAAAACAAATTCCTTACACCAGCCCAATGCCGTGGCCGCTCGGAAAACATTATGATAATGAAATTTATTTGAGGGGTATATATGGTCAATGATAGCCTTCAAGGCTCACCTCTTCAACTACGCCTAAACATTAGTAAATGATGGTATCGGTGATGATTTCATACAATTAATTACTGATGATAATGTAACCGATGTGACTGTACCATAGTCAACCACCCCAATCGTATTTTTCCTATAGATCAGGTTAGTTTGCTCCTTAAATAGTAAGTAATTATAAAGTATTAAAATAATACGGACTAGTAAAATCTGGACCATGGATGTAAATGGGATGTCGTTCTTGTATTAGACTAAAAACAGAACTCAATGTACCATAGTGGTTTTATTACTATCATATTAATTAACTTTTAAAAAGAGGACGGGGAGAGTGCTAAACTTCTTCAGACTTGCCATATAAGTAGTTTGCCCATACACCTTACACCTTGTAGGTTTTGGATGGATTCAAAAAAATACCCAACTAAAACTTCAACTTGAATAAATATTCGAATTTTAAATTCGGCTGGTATTTACTTTCCAAACCAGTTAAACTCGGTTCAATTACAAGCTCGAACATCTTAATTATATTTCCAGACATTGTTTCCTTCCTAACCACTATTGTTTTTGTTTCGTAAAACAACAGCAAGAGAAATGAAGAAAATGTGATCAACAAATTAAAGAAGAAGAGTTGAAGGAGAAATGGTACCGACCAAATCATGCAGAAACATGTAGAAATAGTTTCTGGCATCAGTCATCTTGTCCAGGATGAACACTAGGAACACAGACAGAAAAGATAATCCGCAGACTGCGATGTTGGCGATCAAGAAGAACCTGCGGCCATTGTTAATTAAATTACATATGTTCAGCCCCATAACACCGAAATTATTTTTAAAATTGCCATAAATACTCGATATTCTCATTGGAAAGGAGAATTGTGAACAATTTTTCAGAAACCGCGCTTACTTGAAGATTGGGGAATAACTGTAACGAGCTACAAATTCGATTCCGAACACCGTCGCCGTCTCCTTGCTGGTGAGAGTGGCCCAGGTGGCGGCCAACGTCAGGGCGGTGGTGCCGAGGCGCATCACGACCTGAGCTGCGGAGGAGAGCTTCAGAGCCTTTAATGGCACAGATTTCTCGCCTTTGCTTCCCAAATTCTCCATTTTAGGAAGAAATGCAGATGGAAGAGGAAATTAAAGCAAGTGCACAGGATGGAGTTGAGTATGAAACTGAACGATGGTGGTGGGCTTGTAAGTATTTATAGAATGGTAACAAAAAGACAGGCCCAAAACTAACCACCTTCATGGCACTTAGAATTAAGATTACAATATAGAGTTATAATAGACTAGACACGAGTAATCAGGGTTGAAACTCACTTCATTGAGTTTCAAATCCTTATGTGCATAACGGGTTTCAAACTAGAGACCTCTCATTAGGTACACTAACCTCACAACCAGTTGAACTGGAATGCATGGTTTGTGTGTGTGTGTGTATATATATATATATATATATATATATATATATATATATATATACACACACATAACATGTTTATAAAAATTATTTTATTTTTAAATCTAATCAATTTTTTCTTTGCAAAAAATATTTCATTTAAAAACATTATGTCTTTTCACGCCTTTCGTAGTCGACTCTTGAGTTCACCGCTTTTTCTATGTCTTTCTACAATGTGAGGTGTTTGTGCGCTACCTTATGTCTAGGTGGGCCTAGCAGGGGCGGACCCACCCTAGGGCTAGGGGGTGCCCGTGCCCCTGCGGTGATTTATATATATATATATATATATATATATATATATATATATATATATATATATATATATATATTGGAAAATTCTCAGGTCCAGCACCTCCCGGTCCAAACGCCGTCCGAACACCGCCGTTTGGGGCGGTTCCAGGTATAATTTTTTGATGAAATTTTTTGGGCATGTTCCTCATCAAGTCTAGTTTATCCATACCAAACTTCAGCTCAAAATTCGATCGGGAAGGCAGTCAAATAATTCGTTGAAGTTAACTGCGCCAAATTATACATAGAAAAACGCAGTTAACTTCAACGAATTATTTGACTGCCTTTCCGGTCGAATATTGAGCTGAAGTTTGGTATGGATAAACTAGACTTGATGAGGAACATGCTCAAAAATTTTCATCAAAATATTCCGCCGGGAACCGCCCCAAACGCCGATGTTCGGACGGTGTTCGGACAGAAAAGTGCTGGACAGAAAAGTTATGCCGATTGAGACTTATGATGTTAATATTAGAGATGAGTTGAGGAGACGTTATTTGAGAAAAGGTCCTTGCCAACCGCGTGACTTTAAATTTCCACAAAGTGATTTTAATGGGCGCAACAGATCATTCCAAAAACAGTGGTTTTATTTAAATTTTATTTTAATGGGTGCAACAGATCATTCCAAAAACAGTGGTTTTATTTAAATTTTATAGTTTTGTTTATTGTTATACTTGTGATGCATATGATTTTTTTCTAGATTAGTATATCATTTCTTTGTTATTGTACCCCTCTGCGAGTCACGAGTCCTGATTCCGCCACTAGGGCCTAGACCCCGTCTTTTGCCGTGTTTTTGAACACTGACTATACCACTTGAGAGTTGCAATTTTATGACATGAGTAATAGGTTTCAAAAATATAAAAACTTATATTGAAGTCCTACCTATGTCTTACCCAGTTACCCTGTTTTAGGCCACATGCGGAATCCTTGGTTGGTTGGTCTTGTTTTACATGATAATCATTAAAACATGTCACTATTTTATGATATTCGCATTGAAGTTTTTTACTTTAAGAGATTTTCATATACACTCACAAAATGTCAATAAGTATTGGAAAATATTGAAATACTCCAGAAACTGACGCATAGGTATTGAAATTTATGTTTGGAATTTGCTGGCAAGCAACTCCATTACATTCTCACGAAAAAACTGACAAAATATAGCTATTTCAAAAACAAATTACGATAGCAAGATTTATATTGACATATCATGTCTATCGATTTTTCCTCAAAATTCAAGTACAGATGTTTATTTATCCATGGTGATACGCACAATTTGTCTTCCCACAGAAAACAATATTTTCTTTTATGCAAAAGAAATACAAAATTATGTTTGTGTAATTGTGTTCTTTCAAAGTTTAGAAAATTAAAAAAAAATGTTCACTTGACAAGATTCCAAATTTAGAAGTGGATACAGTTCTAGCTTCAATATATATCTTCATTTCTCCATAAAACTACAAATTAACTCCTTACAAACACCACCCATCGGCCATCAATTGCCGATGCGAATGCTCAAACCACTCCATAAATATCTTCAATATTTATTTAACGAAAAACCCCGAAACATTAGTAAAAACGTTGGAAATAAGACTGTAATATTTTTATGAAAGAATGATCCTAATATTACTGTTGAAGTTTCTAATGACAAAAACATGACTAAATACAGAATTGACACAAATGTGACTTTTCCGTTCCTCACTTTCGTATCCTCCTGCGATACCTGCAAGCGGCTCATCATCTTCGTCGCATCTCTGGCTTGGATCTGCGAGCGGTTCATCATCTTCGTTGCATCTCTTGTTAAATGTCCCACACCGGAAAATTGAGAAGCATTAGAGTGCTATATTAAGCTTCGGGCTACTCCTCCTAACAGGTTGACCTTTTAGGATGGAACCCCGAGTCTTAACATGGTATCAGAGCCAAATCGATCCATGATGTGGGACCCCTTATGAAAAATGACGACACGAAAAAAAATTGACGAACCGTTGAAAAAATGAACGACGACACGATCCAGACGAAGTGTTTGGTCGTGAGGAGGGGTGTTAAATGTCCCACACCGGAAAATTGAGAAGCATTAGAGTGCTATATTAAGCTTCAGACTACTCCTCCTAACAGGTTGACCTTTTAGGATGGAACCCCGAGTCTTAACATCTCTACCTTGGATCTGCGAGCGGCTCATCTTCATCACCCATACACCTTGCCATCGCCGCCGGTTACTCTGCAGTGCCGCCGCCTATCCTCCAGATGTCTCTGCATCGCCACTACCTTGGGTCCTCACTGCATCACCGCCGCCGCTAGTCATCTCTCCATCTGCCGGTCTAATTTAATCCCATCGTGGCACCTCACCGAATAACCATTTGGCTTCTCTCGCTGTTAATCGCCATGGTCACTGATCTTTTCCTTCATTCTTTTTCTCGTTCAAAGGTGGTTTCATATGTGGATCTAGGGTTGTGGTGGTGCGAGGGATGAGATCAGAGAGGCTGGGATGGGGTTGTATGGGTGCAAGGCTGGAGAGGACAGGTTGGGGAATTTGGGGCTAGGGTTTCAGAGTGACGATTGGGGGTGTTGACCGGCGGTGTTGGTTCGCCGGTTAGGTTGGGCGATGCTCCACTCCAGACTGGTGGCTGAAGCAGCAGGTCAGGGTGCAGGGGATTGGGGCGTCGGGATGGGGAGGGTGGGTACGTGACAGCATGTGGCGGTGGGTTGGTGGTGCTGGTGGGGTGGCTGGAGGCAGTATTGGATGGTTAATGGGCAGCGCACGAGCGGGGGTAGGCTATGGCTGGGGAGGGGCAAGCAAGGTGGCTGTGGGGGAGCAGGCGATGGTTGGGGGTAGGGCAGCAGGTGTCTCATCCATAGTGACGGCGGGCGGCTGTTACGCTGAATAGAAATTGTAGCCGGAAAAGGTCGCCGGAAATTTTCCGACGACATAGTGACATGATCAACGTCACAGTGACACATTTGACGACAATAATAACATATGAAAGTGACATGAAAACTGATAGTGACATATGAAGGTGACATGAAAACTGATAGTAACATTCAAAAGTAACATAAATTACAGTGACATAAAATTGATAGTGACATAAAAAGTAGGCAGTGACATATGGTAGTCACATTTTTGTCCTTTTAGAAAAATGGTCACATTTTTAAAAATTGGCTTTAATTTAGTAATATTGAAGATAAAAGCCCTATTTTTATTCCCTAATGCGAGTAATTAGGATGTTTTCACTTATATTGTAATTTGTTGGTTTGGTTTGTTTAAATCTGGTCTGGTCTGGTCTGAACTAGTTTGGTCTGATTTGGTAAACGTCTGATCGGAGTATATAACTACTTAAGTCAAGTCTGGTCTGGCCTGGTTTGTTTATGTCTGATCTGACCTGATTTGTTTAAGTCTGGTCTAATCTATTTAAGTTTGATCTGGTCTAGGATTAAAAGCAGTGCAAGTGTAGAAAATACTATCATTTTTAAAGTGTGATACTCCTAAAACACAACAATAATCACTCAAACTTAGGGAATAAAAAAATTATTATCCTGTTTTGAAATACAAAAACATTTTTACTTCTTGTTAAGAAAACTTTCCGGCCTGTCTATTCCCGTCTTCATTAGTGACTTCGGTACCATAGGAAACATATTCGAAATAGGTAAGCATTCTAAAAGTATACTTTCTAAATATGAAAAAACAAAAATGGAGAAGTATTACTACGTACAAAGTTTGGGAAAAATGTCAGACCCTCGAACTTAAATAAAAATATCAAATAAGTCTTTACATAGGAGGCTTTGTCAGGCCGTCGTCATTTAGGCCGGTTCCTGATGGAATATTTTGATGAAATTTTTTGAGCATCTCATTCATTAAGTCTAGTTTACTCATAACAAATTCTAGCTAAAACTTCAATTGGGAAAGTATTCAAATGAGTTCTTGAAGATAACTGCACAGTTAAAAGCGCAGTTATCTTTAAGAATTCATTTGAATGTCTTTCCGATTGAATTGCTAGCTGAAATTTGGTATGAGTAAACTAGACTTAATGAATAAGATGCTAAAAAAATTCATCACAAAAATCCACCGAGAGTTGCTCCAAATGGCGACGACGGAACAGAGCTTCGGATATAAGAGTTTATTTGATCTTTTTATGTATGTTCGAGGGCATATTTGACCCTTTTCCCTACAAAGTTTTAAATAATATATAGGAAAAATAAAAATTGAAAATGGACGAGACATTTGAGTCAAAGTTTTTGAAAGCAGAGCCAAGAAAAAGACCTTTCCGGGTCGTTTAGCTGCATTCTTTTTTCAATATTTATTTTTCTTAGGAATTTAATTACGGAGTATATATGATAGACAAGCACCTCATTGTATGCTTCGTGTTGATTGAAAAGCTCACATTTGAATATTAATATCTCGTAGTTACTATATATTACTATATACATATTTTAACTTTAATATTAA